GGAAAAGGCGGCAGAGATCTACTCTCACCGGCGCAATTCAAAGAAGAAGCTCTCGCCGACAGAAGAAGAGGCATTGTCGCAACAAGAAGCCGAAGAACTTCGGCGGAAGAGCCTCACCGAGGCACGCGGAACGCTCGCCTGGGAGCAGGACGAGGAAAGCGCCTCCAATGAAGGGGGGTGGGGGAGCGCCGGCGGATGGGGAACGAGCGACACCAGCGGCTGGGGCGTCGCAACCGGCGGATGGGGCGCAACAACAGGCGCAAACATCGGCGGATGGGGCGCCGCACAAGGCGGCGAGACGAGCGGCTGGGGAGCTTTCCGCGAGGATCAAAGGGGGGAAGAGGCAGAAGAACCTGCGCATGCTGAGGTCGAACCTCCTGTTGTTCCTCTCGGACGCCCTCCGCGCCGCCCTGCATTAGGACCACCGCCGCCTGACATCCCTTCAGGAAGTGACCCCTGGGACACCATTGACTGGGAAAGTGAACCACTCACCCCGCGACGCACTGTCTACGGACCTGCCCCTGAACCGCGGGAACCGACGTTCGTACTTGGCACGATCCCCGGAACCAACATCCCCTACTCCATCATCCGCGACAGAGAATTTCTCGCCCTCATGCTAACGATGGCGAATGAGGAAGAAGAAGAGAACGAGGGAACAGCGCCTACACCTGCACCGGCACCTGACGAAGACCCCGTAGCCGCACTGGAGCGCTACATGCGCACATCTGGATTCCGCGCCGACGACGCCATCTGGCATCAGCGCCTAGGTCACCCTTCGCGCGTGACCCTGAAGAACTGCATCGAAGCCGGCGTCTTTGCACCTGGCGCGCTGTTGCGCCCTGACGGCTCCGAAGTGAGAGGAGGGACTCACCCGCGCAGCTGCACTGTCTGCCCCGAAGTTGCGCTGAGTCACCAGCCCTTCCCCCTACTCGAGCCAGGAACCAATCGCTACGCCAAGCTTGAGAAGGTTTACAGTGACTTTCTCAACGTAGGACACTGCGGCATCAACGACGAACTCTACACACTCACCTTCGTCGACGCCGGAACGCGCCACGTGTGGGTCGTAAACGTGGAAGCGCGTAGCAGAGCCTACGAAGCATTCCGTCTGTGGCTGGCGCACGCGCAGCGGCAATCTGGGGAGAAATTGAAGATCTGGCAGTCTGATGGTGCGGCGGAGTTCAGGAGCAAGGAACTGCAGGATTACCTCGCGCAAAAGGGGATCGAGCATCACATCTCCCTCCCCTACGCGCACCAGCAGCAGGGCGTAGCGGAGCGCACGAATCGCACTCTCATGACGAAGGTACGGGCGCTAATGCGGCAGGCAAAGCTCCCGCCGATCTACTGGACCTACGCGATGCACCACGCCGTGCGGGTGCACAACCTGCTGTCAACCACCGCAATCACCGGCAACTCCTCGCCGCACGTGAAATGGACGGGAAGAAAGGGGGACACCTCCATGCTCCGCGTCTGGGGCTGCATGGTTCAATACCGACCCCCAACATCAACCATCGGGAAGTTCAAAAGCCGCGCGCGCTGGGGAATCCATCTCGGTATCAGCCACGAACACAAGGCGTGGATCATCCTGGATCTCCTAAGCCAGAAAATCAGGAATGCGCGCGATGTCATCTTCTACGAGCGACTGTTTCTCCAACAATTTCGTGACGACGAGCAAACGAACGCAAACCGCGTCTACGCCAACGAGGGCCACAGCTACGCCTCACCTGAGGACGAAGCAGCAGCAGCAATTCTGGAGCAGGATCCCAGAGGCGAGTTCACGAGGGGCGATCGCCGCGACGACGACGACGACGACAATGATTCAGGTGAAGGAGGAACAGGCGCAACAGGAGGAGGCGCAGCAGGAGGAAGCAGAAGCGGCGGAGACACAGCACCGCCAGCACTGCCTGAACCATAAAGTGATGATGACGACGTGCAGGAAGTCGTCACTCAACATCGCCACGACAGCACTGTCACTGGTCTCCAGCTACTTGGACTACACGCTGCCATCTCTACTGCTCCGCGCATCATCGAACCTAAGAACCCACGGCAAGCTCTCACAGGCCCACACAGCAAGGAGTGGCGCGAAGCAATGGATGCGGAAATCCGGGCACTCGAGTCACGCGACACCTGGGTGCTCGTCGACCGTGCAGCAGTAAAGGGGAGAAGGATTCTCTCCGGCAAATGGATCTTCCGAGTGAAGACAGGAGCCGACGGAAGGATTGAGCGATTCAAGGCACGCTGGGTGGTGCGCAGCTACGATCAAAGGCACTGGATTGATTTTGACCAGACATTTGCACCGGTCAGCCGTCACACGTCCGTCAGAATTCTCCTCGCCATCGCAGCCGCACGACACCTACCACTCCGGCAGATCGATGTGAAGAATGCGTTCCTGTACGCGTTAGTGGACGCCGTGATCCACGTGGAACAGCCACACACTTACGGCGACGGAGACCCACGCGTCTGTCAGCTACGCAAGTCCCTCTATGGGATCAAACAGGCACCGAGACTCTGGCAGCAGTACCTGCACAACATACTGCTTGAAATCGGGTTCAAGCAGCTGCCTCACGATCCTGGAATGTATCGCCGCGATTTCCGCGGCGAATACATCCTCCTCACGGTCTACGTCGACGACCTTCTCTACACGGGCTCAAGCAACGAACTGCTCGAGCAGTTTGAGAAAAGCCTCGCAGGGCGCGTCGACATCACCTGCAATCATGGCGTGAAGCAGTTTCTCGGACTCAACATCACCTACTCGCCGGAAGCCATTCATCTCTCAGCAGCGAAGTATGCGGAGGAGCTTAGCAAGCGCTTCAACATTGCGCCTGCACCACTCTCCACCCCTTACCGCACTCCAGGACCCAACCACAAGCCTGACAACAAAGCCCTGTCCCCTGCTGGGCTTCACACTTACCAGCATCAGTTGGGATGCCTGCTCTTTGCATCTGTCACCTGCAGGCCCGACCTCTCCAACATCGCGAGCCAGTTGGCTCAGTACTCACGCAAACCAACGGCTGAGAATCTCTCAGATCTTCAGCGAGCTCTTCAATTCTTCGTTTCCACGCCCAGCGTCGGGCTCTGCTACTCCACCATTCCAACTTCATCCTTCAACCTCATCGCGTGGACGCCGATCACGCTGCCGACCCTGACAATCGACGGTCCAGGACAGGCTTTATTTTCCGCCTCGAGCCCAGCGGGCCCATCTCTTGGAACTCGCAGAAGCAAGAGCTGGTTGCCCTGACATCAGCAGAGGCCGAGTTCATCGCAGCGACAGCAGCAGTTTGCGAAGGCCTCTACCTTCAGGAGCTGCTGCAGGAGGCGAAAATCCCTGCCTCAACAAATTTTCGCCTGCACTGTGACAACCAGAGCGCGATCAGGATCGCGAACAAGCCAGGATTCGTCAACCGCACCAAACACATTGCGCTGCGGTACTTCTTCGTCAAAGACGAAGTTGATAAGGGCAAGGTTGACCTAACCTATTGCCCGACGGGTGACATGGCAGCAGACTTCCTCACGAAGGAACTGCCACGACAGCAGTACCAGCACTGCTCCGAACTCAGCGGAGTAGTCAAGCGGGTCAAGACCTGCTACGGCTAGGAGTGAAGGGGGGTGTTACGAATAGTGATTATCGAAACACTACTGTACACTCCTCTCCGCAGCAACCAAAGCACGCACTACCGGGAATGAAGATGAAAGGGCGCAAGTGACGCGAAGAGTCACACGGTTATGAAAAGCATCTGGACCGTCGGGCAGACAGCATCAGGCAGCAGAAGTGGCGAGGATTCTGCCCGAACAGTTACGTAACCACTCGGAGTCGCACGGTTGGATTTCGCTGTAATAAGGGAATGTACCCCTTAGAGTACATGGCTAGCTAGGTCGTTTCGAATTCCCCTGTACTCATATTTATATTCCTTGTATTGCATGTTTTTAATCATCTCAAGCATTTACATTCACTCTGCTATTGAGGTCAAGGGCCCACCACCACTAGACTAGAACTGTGCGAACCTTCCTGAGGTGATCCTGGTTACGATCACTTTCTGATCATAACACTCCTATCTTTCAATTATCTTGTTCTCTTTCAATTATTATTCAACAAGGTCACTACAGAGACTTCATTGTCTCCTCTCAGACTTAACAGATTCTATCCTATCTACTGGATCCTTGGTTATATCAGCAAATATTATGCTATTACCTATCCGCCATCCATACTTTTATTGCCAAAGTCACACAAACCAAACCCTTTCCCACAAGTGAGGCTGATTGCATTTTTACAATACCGTATACTTGTTGCAGGTATCTGTTCATTTTGATGTCATTTGGATAAACGCTATGCCCTACAGTTGCCCAGTCACTCGTGTAGTATTGCGGTCGAATTGAATACGGTATTCCAAACTTGTTTAAGATACGGGACACGTACGCAGCAACTTGTGGCCTCAAAATCAATCCTAAACCACCATTGCAGCAGGAACAGCAGCAGCAAGAGACGCACCGCAATGCAACTGCTGCTGCTGGTGGTGTTGCTACGGTAGTGGCGGCGGCATCTCCTAAATTGCCTTGCCATGCAGACCAGCTCTTGCCACGCCACCTGACCCTGCTGCGGCATATGGGTCTCCCTAGAGTTTCTCAAAATACTCTGTATCAGTAAGATTCCAGCCTGACGTGTGAACAAGCGGAGCTTTGAGCACTGGCTCTCTGCTGAGGCCAACCCGTCCCGAGTTCCTGGTCTTGCATGCAATAGTGCGGCCAGCCGAGACGATTCAAACAATTTCCGAAGGGCACCTACACACAATGCACAATCAGACGTAAATAGTACTGCCACAATCATCCCCACAAATGTAACCTACGGTATTCTAATAGATCTCATCAGGCATAGGCCATTCAGCAGTATTCCATACACTATGTACCATACACGTGTGTGAGTGAAGGCAGCCTTGCGGCATTTTTTCTCTATAAGCACCCTGCCATCGTGCGACTGATCTCATACCCAACCAACAGGTGGAAGCGACTCAGAGCATGAGCCGGCTGGGCGGGGGCAGGTTGGGCAGGGAGGCAGTGGTGTTGGGGGAGAGCACATGCGACGCCACCACCATGGACGGCCCCACTGACCCCACTCGTCTCACATGCACGGGAACCAGCCGACCGCCGCCATCCACCTGCGCTACCAACTCCCACTGCTGACGTGTCATGACAACTGACTCACGCTCGCCCCCCTTCTTCCCACCCGCCTCTCCCCTCCTCTCCCTGCTGTCACTCCCATCCACCTTCTGCTTCTCTGTTCCCTCCTTCATCCCACCCTTCCCTGCTTCTGTCCTCGTTCCGTCCTCATTTGAAGCAGTCTCGTTATTGAGCGCCATGGACAGCATGGACTGGCCAACGCCCTCCACCCGCAATTCCACCTGTAGAGGAATGCGAACCACCCGGCCAGCAGAAGCACTGGCCTTTACCAGCTGGAACACGCGGGGCAAACCGTCAGAGGCACCACCACCACCCTTCCCCCCCTTCCCCTTGCCCTGCTGCGCCAGCATCTCCCCCAGCGCGCCCTGCAGCGCCTCCCCCAGCGCCGTCAGCCGCCCATCAGATCGATTCACTGCTGGGAACGGCCATGGGCCGGGAGGGGCCGTGAGCGACGCCAGAGGTAGCGCCGCCGCGAGGGAAGAAAGGGCGCCGCCTCTTGCTGCTGCTTCTGACGTGGATCGCGGCCTCGCTGACGTCAGCTCCACTGCACCTGCTGCGATCCGTTTGACTCTGAGCTTGGCGGGCGCAAGAGCGGTCGCGGCACTAGTGGCTGCGGCGGTATTCCCAAGGTCGTCAGTTGCACCCGCCCCAGAAACCGCCTCCACCAGGTCGATGCTGGCGACGTCCCGAGCGGGGGGGAGCGGGGAGAGCGGCACGCTGGCGGCGACGATGGCGGAGGGGCGCACCACGCGGAGAGACACGAGCTCGCGCGGCAGGGGGGACGTGGACGAGGGCGCGCGGGACGGGGAGGACCAGGAAAGCGCGGCGGCTTTGAGCTTTTCCGCGAGGCCGAGGAGCGCGGAAGAGGCGGCGGAGGCGGAGAGGGATTGCGCGGAGAGAGAGGGGAGGGGGAGCTGCAGCGGGCGCGCCAAGGCGACTGCTTGCGCGCCGTGCACGGTGACGGCGGCGCCTGACGCGAGCACGACCTTCCTCACCTCGCCCGCATCCACGTCGTGCTGGCGGAGGGGGGAGATGGGGGAGGGGAGAGATGGGGGAGGGGAGAGATGGGGGAGGGGAGAGATGGGGGAGGGGAGAGATGGGGGAGGGGAGAGATGGGGGAGGGGAGAGATGGGGGAGGGGAGAGATGGGGGAGGGGAGTGAGGAGCGGGGAGCGGTGAGAAGGGAGCAGGGTGCGCGGGGAGAGGGGAGCGGTGAGAAGCATCGTAAAAGGGCAAAGACAATGGGGAACAACGCGACATTCGGAAGACGGAAGGTAGAGGGGAAGGACTGGAGTGACCCACAACCTTGCAGCGCACTCACCGGCATGGCGAGGCGCACTTGCTCCGCGTCCTGCACCCACATCTCCATCGGCCCCTCCACCGTCACCGGCGGCAGCGACCCCGCCGCCGCTGACGTCAGCACCGACCCTGAAACTGATTGTAGCAGCGAGTCGCCTCGCAGCGCAAGAGAACCCCCGTCCGCAAAAGCATGTGCTCCTGATTTTCCTGCGTCTCCGTTTTTACTCTCCTCGGAAACACCGATTGCTTGCTTCTCTTCTGTTTGCCCCGTCGATTCGTCGATACTAGCAGCGTCGGGTGCGGCAAGAGGCGGCAAGTGGGGATGGAGGTACTCGGGGGGGCTTAGCTGCTCCGAAAGGGAAAAGGCTTTCCGCTGCGCGCCGAGCTGCACCTCAAAGTCGTACTGCAACACGCGCTGCCACGTGGCGTCCTCCAAATCCACTCTGCTGACACGAGTCATGGACGTCGGCCAACGGTTTTCGATGCTGACGTGACGGGTGAAGTCCTGCGAGGAGGAGAGAGGAGGGAGCGAAGTAGCAAAGCCTCAGGCGATTAGCAAGTTATAACTGAAACGACCCAACGACGAGCCCGCGGCTCGCAGCTTGTAAACGTCGACTCGTTATGGTGATAACATTACTGCACTGTCAGTCCCTCGTCTGTTCAGTCGTGCTAGACGCTTCCCAATGTTACTACCTTCAAAGCCTCTTGGATTGATGATCCAATAGTAGGAGACGGTTCTTGAGTGACGGATGCTGCTAGAGCGATGGACGCTGAGAAAACGCCGATTGTGGCGGCGAGAAACAAGAGACGCCGTCCGACTGACAGCGCTACTCTTACATCCATCGCCATGCTCTGCTGATTCAAGCGGTTTAGGAAGTTGCGAGTTCAACGCTACAACGTGCGGGCACAGCTAGAAAACCTTCTAACAAAACTGATTTCTGGTGAAGTCGGAAGTTTGTAGTGCGCCTGATAAAGAGTCGAGGAGACCGCACAATCTACGTTATGGATCGAAATAGGCAGTAAGACGAAGTCACCTAAGCTGGTACAGTTTCGACTTTTATAAAGAACTAGGAGGCGTGGAGCTCACGGGATCAGTTCAGCAGTTACGCTGCAGCTGAGCTGAGCCGACGCGGCAACCCAAAGCAGAACCGATTTTCTCACAATTTCGCTTCATTCTCATTCCTCCCCATCCCAGCCAGGCTGGTCGTCCGCGGCTGGCGGTGAGGGTTCTGCATTCTGGAATGTTCGATCCTTGTGCGCTGGTGGTAGGGATTGCACGACGAATAGGGCACAAGGAATTCAGGCGGAAGGTGCTGGAAGGCACTTGTGATTGGTCAGTCTGGGTTCGACATGCGGAACGCGACCGCGATGCTTCGATGCGACACGGATGTGTCAGGGGGAGTTACGGCTGCCAAAGGTCACCCATCGAACGTCTGTCATTCAAACAATTGTTGTTGACCTGGTTGATTGTTGAAGATCGACGGCTACGACGAGGACAGCACATAGCAGTAATACTGGTCAATGAGGATCGAGTATTCGTGTCATGGTTGCTTTCCCACGAATCAGCGGAAGGCTGCTGAACCCAGCCCCATCATTTTGCATACGCACATAAAATATTAATGGAAAGGACCATATGTAGAAGATAAATGATATACAAAGGACATGACACAAGCCAACACAAAAGCTAGCGCACACAGCAACAATAATTCTATACACTATGTACACAATCCACTAGAAAAGAGATAGGTACCAGACAGCCTTGGTCGCTTGAACTTTAACCATTACGAGACGCTTATCGGAGCATGGCCAACTCCCCCAGCACCACGCTGTTGTGACCTCTCTTTGTAAGAACTAGTCTGGAGCTGAAAGGCCGATGGGCGGGACACATCAAAGAGCTGAAGCGTAGAAGGTGTCTTCCGGGGCAGAGAATCAGCCGCCTCTGGAGCAGAACTGAGACTGAGCACTGTGAAGGGCTTGGAAGAACCAGCAGGGTCTGAAGACACATCGATCCCTAACATCAGCCCCTCACAACCCCCCTTGAAGCCAGTCTCTACTTGCAGCCCGGCTTCCTTACGAGCCGTCTCCTTTGTTGAGACACCATTCCCTCTCTCCTTGACAGCAACAGGCACGTGGAGGGGCGATGTGGCCAGCATGGCTGTGGGGCGAAGCACTCGGCTTGCCCCCCCTGGACTGCTGGAATGGCCGCTAGAGAATGGAGGCTGCCAGCTGCACCCCAGGTTCAGCGGAGGAGGATAAGGAGGCCACATGTACATGAAGGATGGATCAGGGAAGCAGTGGTAGGTGGGTGGGTAGAAACCGTGAGGAGGGGAGAAAGGCGGAGGAAACTGCTTCACAGGCACTGCCTCTGCTTGCGCAGCAGCAGCTGGCAGTCCAGCCTCCTTCGATGCACCACCTTCTTCCTCCACCTTACTCTTATTGTGCCAACTACCAGGAGCCATGGCTTCAGATAACCTAGAGGCACCAGCGACAAACTTGGAAGGCAGGGGTTCTTTATGTACACTGACTTCCACCCCCGTGCCCCCCTCGTTCTCCACCTTAACCTTCTTCTCAGCGCCCTGTACATCCACATCAGCATCCGCATTAGCAGCAGCAACCGCGTGCGCGCGCTGCCTCCTCTCCTCCTCCATGCGCAGCAGCATCTCGTACCCCATCCTGTGCCTCGCCGCCGGGTCCATCATCATCTCCGCCGGATACATTGCATCTGGACGGACCGCGGGAGCAGCAGGATGCGGAGGCCAGGTGCGGCCTACCGTGGGGTAGCCACCCCACGGTTCAGTAACGCCAAATATGCGCCAGGGATGAATGACGTCAGCAGGTGGGAATAACACGTCCGCGGAAGTATGTACAGCGGGATTCGTAGGAGAGAGCGATGGGAGGGACATCGGACGGCTGAGAGAGCGCGAGAGGTGGGAGTCGCCGGCGCCAGGGACCACGGGGTAGGAGTGCGAGCGGTTGAGGTCCAGCAGAGACGCGTGCTGCGCGTAAGCAGGCGGCGGTGACGCCGTGACTGACGGTAGCGTGACTGACGGTAACGTGAATGACGGTGGCTTGACGGAGGCGAGATTGGACGGGATCTTGGGCGATGACGCGGACGAGGGGGGGTTATGCGCGTGAATGGGTGGATCGTGCGTGGGAGCGGCACGCGCGCTGCACTTGGCGTCTTCAGGCGCGAGGGGGAGGGTGGGCGTGCTCACGGAGCGAATCATATCCATCCTCTCCTCCAAAATCTGCGAGCCGAGCAACCGCGGGAACAAAAAAATCGGCAGCACGTCGGGGAAAGCGATGATAAGCGTGGAAGCCGATGACGGGAAACACGGCAACGATAACGAAAGAGGACGGAACGGCGAGCGGCGAGGGGCGAGGGGAAAACGGGGAGAATCCGGGCGGCTTACCGAGTCGGTGTTGATGTCAAAGAGGCTGGAGCGGCGCTTGCGCTTGTTGTGGTTGTTCTGGCGGTTGAAGTACTTCTGCGCGTGCGACGCCACCTGCGTGGGCGTGCGCGTCACCACGAAGCTCCGCGCGATGCCCCGCCAGTCGCCCTTCCCCAGCTTGCACAACCCCACCAGGAACAGCCGGTGCTCCTCCTCCGTCCACGGAATTCCTGCTCACAACCAAGGACAAACACTCTGTTCATCACCCATACAGTCCAGCCAAACTCAATTTACTCGACAAGCTACTGCTCAGCTCTTTTTTAAACGAAGCATGCAAACAGCGTACGACTGGCGGTGTGTGTAATGGTTGCACAACTTACCTTTCTTCCTTTCCTTAGCGTGGCTGGAACCACCACATCCTGCCGCGCCTTTACCGCCTCCGCCACCATTGCCCTCGGGACCCGTATCGGACGCATAGCCGTCACTCGCTGCTGGTGTCTGCGACCCTACGTCTCCGCCTTCGGCGTTAAGAGGGCTAAGACGGTTCTTTGTGCCGCTGGGTCGCGCCTCCCATGTGCTGCCATTGTCACCGCTCTCCTCCATCCAAGAAACTCTCTTATCTGAAAAGAGAGCCCAATCCCTTTGCTTATCTATCTGCAACCCGACGGGGCTAAATTAGATCTGATATCGTCGGGGATCGTCGAGGATCTATGACTTTCTGACTTTCGAATGGACGACGAATTCACGTCAACCGTCACGAATGGGGAGCGCTGATGAATAAGAGTAGAAAACTTAGTTGCAAAACACCAAGCTAGCGTTCCGAAACGCGGTGCTACACCAATCGGCGTCGCACAAGTGGAGGCGGTCCAGAAGTCCGAGGTAGTTCACCTGCCGTTACCCACGTGATCTAGTTTTAGATGTTCGACGTTTCCAAGACGCCTCGACTCGTTGACTACAGCGCACAGACGCTGCAAGATCAATCCACAAAACTGGATCACGGTGACCTGCTGACTGCGTTAATCGGCGCGCAGAGCCACATGGCGACTTGCTGGCCGAGTATGGTCACAGCGATGCCAGGGGACAGGAAAGGGCAACGACGAAGCCGCAAGCAGAAGCAGCCGAAGGGAGGGAAGCTCGATGAGCGGAGGAGATGGGTCTGTGGGGAGGGGAGGAGGTGAGGAGGTGACGGAGCGATACAGGCCCGTCGTCCTGGGCGCAGTGGGCGCAGCGCCCGTCGTCAATTCGAAGGCGGGGCAGATTCTCAACTGCCATTCGAAGCATTCTTCTCGTCTGCCCTGCCCTGCCCCGGTGCCTGCAGTCTGCTTTGTTTGTCTGGTTTTGGTTGGTTGAACTTGAGAGACTCGCAATTGCATGCAGCACACCTTGGGTTTCTGAACAGTAGCTCGGTCTGGGGAAGGGCAGAATCTTTGGCGAGGTACAGCACAGTGGCAAGAGGCGTCACACGCCTCGCTGACATAGACATTCTGTGATTTGGCGGGCAGGCTGCTTTTCCTGGATCAGTGGACTTCGGCGAAACGATTGGTGTTATCGGGTAAGAAAAATCTCGTGCGCTGGCGAGATCGCCAGATTCAGTGTTCTGGTTCGCTGGAAGAGTCGCGAGGTTCCAGCCAAATAAAATTCTCCAAGCATCCAGGAACCAAACAGAACTCCTGACTTCCATGACTTTGGGCGGGCGACGTGTTGCAAAGCCGTTCCGCATTGGGGCGACTTCGCTAGAAGAAACATTGCGGCAGAAAGTTTGACAGTGAAACCTTGCAGCAATGATAAGTGTTCAATTGTAGCTTTTGCTGAAAAGCTACATTGAGAATCGGTTTTACACTCAGTTCTATGACTGAGCAACTACGTATCCTTCCACTGTACACATCCCCTCCACTCCACCTCCCCTCACCCCTTCAGCAGACCACTGACAAGTGCTAATGCCACTGGGTGATACCCGGCTTTGGCCGCTTCAAACACCCTTTCAGCCACGTCCTTGGCACCGCCCTTTATCAGCGCAGTGTAGAGCGGGCGCAGGTACTTCATGCGGCCCACAGACATGAGGGTTGCCTCCACCTCGGGATGGAACTGCGTTGCTCCTGACTGCGCTGCCACTGTGAGGAAACCCACGCTTATCTCCGCGTTCTTGCTCTGATGGAAGGGCATGAGGTGGGAGTGGTGGTGTGGGATTGGAGAGTTTGCTAACATGAGGAAAAACGTTACAACTTTGGATAAATGTGCAGAAGAGAACTGAGGGATAAAAAAAGCATTGCACAGCAGTCAGGGCAACGAAAGAGACCATTCAGGAGAAGGAGAGGCAGGAGAGAAGGGTTAGAGAAAGACAGACGGGGAAGTGTGTAGAGGCATAAGCATGTACCTTTGAAAATCCGAACTCTTCGTCCAATCGCACGAGCGTTTCAACGGGCAGAGTTCTGGGCAGACCGGCAAGAAAGATCTGCCACTCATCAGGACCCCAGTCACTCGCATCCGCCCGCCCAAACTTTGAGTGCGGATCCTCAACAAGCCCACTTGCCGCCCGCTGCACAGCCGCCAGCTTGGCAGACTGAGGCACGATGCTCTCCGCCTCGGCCGGCATTCCTTGTCCTCTCACCCACTCCTCCACGTCCACCCAGCTCTCGCCGCCCTTCTCCATCACCTGAGGCAACTCTGCTTGCAAAAACTCGAGAAACGTGGCCGTGGTAATAGACTGGAAAGCAAACTTGCTGATGTATTTGGTGATAAACGCGTCAAACGCCGGCCGCCCCACGGCTTTCTCAAGACGTGTGAGGAAGAAAAACCCCTTCTCGTACGGAACCTCGGAAAACACCTCGTCTGGATCGATCTCATCCAGGCCGTCCGTGCCCAGATCCAGCTGCGTGAATCGACGGCTGGATGAGCCCGTTTCAGAGGTGAAGCGCGAGAGCCCCTTTTGCAGGTCCAACCAGCCCATAGCCGCATCTATCTTCGCCTTCTCCTCCCCCTCTGTTGCTTCCAGAATCCTCCGCTCCGCATACACCGTCCACCCCTCGTTCAGCCAGAAGGAGGAGTAATCCGCGTTGGTAACCAGGTTACCAGTCCAGCTGTGTGCCAGCTCGTGCGCAACCACGCTGGCCAATGAGCGGTCGCCAGCTAGCAGTGTGGGCGTGAGGAAGGTGCAGCGAGGGTTCTCCATGCCACCGTAGGGGAAGGCGGGTGGCATGAGCAGCAGGTTGAAGTCCCCCCAGCCATACGGGCCGAACAGGACCTCTGCTGCCTTGATCTTGTCCTCTGTTTCACTGAACTCGTACGCTGCTGCCTCCACCTGTGATGGCTCTGTAGGAGGGGATAAGGATGGTGAGTGCAAAGAGGTACGAAGGGGGTTAGAGAGGGACCACCCGTACGGGCCGAACGGGGCCTCTGCTGCCTTGACATTATCCTCTGTTTCACTGAACTCGTATGCTGCTGCCTCCACCTGTGATGGCTCTGTAGGAGGGAGAAACGTGTACGGATGGGGATGGGGAGGCAGGGGCGGGGGCGGAAGGAGTGTTGGGAAAGGGGGAGGCGGTGGAGGGAGAGTGGAGAGAGAGGGAAAGTTGGTCTCACCATGACTGCTGCTGGCTGTCAGGTGCTGCTTTAAAACAATGATATTGATCATCACGACCATCACGATCAACATCGTCTTACCGGCATAGACCTTCACGCGTGGGCTGAGCGTCTTGGAGGCGATGTCACCGACGGCAAGAGCAAAGAGGTATGGCGGGATGGGCTGCTCCATCTCAAACACCTCCTCCACGCGGGCGGCGTTCGCCGTCTGCTCTGTGGCCACGTGCTGCGCACTCATGACCGCGTGGAGGCCCGCTGGTATGTTCACTCGTGCTGCGGAGGATGTTCACACGTGGAGGGGAGACGGTGGAAAGGAGGGCGAGGTAAGCATGGGGAAGCGGACGAAGGGAAAGCGCGGGGAAGGGGTGAATGGCAGGGAACAACGGACTGACTGACATGGCAACAGCGTTCAACAGGACGGCACGGGCAAAGGGAAGGCATGGATGGGATAAAGCATGAACTGAATCTGATCGCTCAAAGCACTCGCAAGTGGAAGAGGTGACTGCGGTAAGATGACTTGTGACGCGTCTAACACTCAGGGAATTTATGCAAGAGCAGCCTGTGAGTCAGAACACTTAGAGGCTTGGCAGGAGAAGGGGCTGACCGCGGTACTTGATGCGTGCTTGCGGTGTGTCCTGGCAGGGGAAGACGGAGCGCGCATGGATGGCCTGGCACTGCGTGAACACGTACGGGTGCTGCCCTCCTGCCGTCTGCGCCGGTGTGAGCCACTGCAGCGCTGAGGCACTGGCACCCGTGTGGTAGCCTGCAGATGGGGAAAATTGGAGGGGCGCACAGGGGAGGAAGGAGAAGCAGGAGCGGGAGGAGGAAAAGCGTGGTGATGGGTAGAGGGACGAGGACGTTTGGACGAGTGACGGATTCTACAAGGCGCGCAGGGAAGAAAGAAAGGGGGTGAAGAGGTGAGGGAAGACGGATGGGGGAGCGGGGGTGGGGTGAGTGATAGGAAGTGGTTAAAACAAGAGCAGAGAGGCTGGCAAGGTGCAGTAGGGCATGATGGTGATGCTCGCATGTATGCGGTGACAGGGATGGTGCTATGTGCACGATGACATGCAATTGGACACTCACGAATGGTGACTCACGAATGGTGACTTCATTGGAGTGCAAGGAGAGCTCGAGCAGCGATCCGCGCACGTGATGCGGAGGATGCAGCTGGAACGGCACTGCAGGACGCCATGCCATGCCACATGCCATGCCATGCCACATGATGACACCACGCCATATGGTGAATACATGCCGTGATGATACCACGCCGTGTGGTGATGACATGCCATCACGGGGACATGCGATATGGTGACGGAAGGTCATGATGACGCAAGTCTTCGAATGGCGGAAACCGAAACGCCACGTCCTACGAGGGAGGAGGGGAGGAGGGAAGGAGGGGAGGAGGGGAGGAGGGGAGGAGGGGAGGAGCGGGATGGCTGCAAAAACGAACCAAGCGCGCCGACGTGAGAAGGGGGAGTGAGAGCGAGGAAGATAGAGCGAAAGCAGCAGACGAACCGAGTCACTATCGGACGCGAGCCGACGGAGGAAAGGCACACGAGCATCCCATGTCATGACAGCGGCAGCACCAGCAGAGACACGGAAACTGCTCCAACGCGAGAATCTCGCACGGGAACCTCACCGTCGTTGCCGGCAGCGTCGGTGGCGCCGAGAATGGTCAGATCCCGCGAGTCCAGGCTGAGCGTCCCCGTGGCCTGCAGCCAGTCGGCCGGAGAACACGGACGGAGGGGAAACAAATCATAAGAAAACGGGAATCAGAACCATTGGAAATGGGAAATCTAGAAACTAGAGATTACTACGGATTCCGGAGGACGATCTGCGAGGCACAGTATGGAGCTAGCCCGTGAGGCTTACGGGTTTGTCTAGCACTAATCGAACCGTTCCTGAGATCTGCTTGTTGTCGAAGTCGACGGTCAGATTGAAGTCGACGAACGTGGTGAGCGGCTCGCCAGCCTGCGTGTTGGAGTGCGGGTCGATGGGCGCCATGGGGAGCAGACAGAGCAGCGAAACGACGCAGAGAAAGGCGGCATAAGGCGGACAGTGCAGCATGAGAAGGGAAAATGGAATCTGGGATTTGAATGTTGCTCGAATGGGGAAATGACTGAAAGGATTGAGCATTGAGACCTGCATTGGAGATGTCCTACAGTTTTTCGACATACGGTAAGCAACAAACTGCATTGTGAATTTGTCTTGCATACAAATAGTTTTTTATAACTGGAGCTTACAACAACGTGTACGGGGGCGAACAGCTGGGATTTGGCGGTTGCCTCATCCGAGCACGTGTTGCGTGTTCGTTGGGGAAGGTCGACCTTGGGTGTATCGTGCTTATAATGCGGGCCACGGGGACTGACCTATCAGGTGACACACACGACTCCTAACGACAGCCTCAGAAAGGGTTACCGTTTTTCCCCAACCGTAAGGTGCTCGCAATGCTATCGCAATAGCCTGACGTGTCTGGCAATATGGCCCTAGGCTGCTGACTCCATCCATCTTCAGGCAAGGCTCAGGCCTGTGCCAGCGGCATGCCCAAGGCGAGGCATCAACGCACACAGCACACCTTTCTTCTTCCATGCATTTCACCCACCACACCTCCCGTCACAACCACAGCTTCCTCTCTTGTTGCCTCGCCTCACGCTCACCTCCCTCCGTCCTTTCCTTTCCGCTTCGCCATGACTCGTGCGCCCCACCAGCAGGACCCGCCGACTTGCCCACAGTGTGCTTCCGCGTGTCCACCCATTCCTGCGCTCCTCGGAACCGGATTTGTTGATTCGATCGCCTGATCCGCACCCCCAGTCGTACCCACCTCCCCCTATCCGTTCAGTCCACTTCACCTGCTCGTACTCGTCGCAGTGTGCTTCGATGAACCAACATCGAGGTAGTGAGCAGCGCGCGCACACATGCTATCCACCCGTTTCGCTCGTCGACCCTCGCCAGCGCTGCACTTGAAGTCAAATCGCATCCCAATAGGCACACGAATGCACGCCCGACTGTGCGGGAAGGTCATTTCGACAGCAATCTCACCAGCAACCATCGCGATGCACGTGCGTCCTCTTCCTTCCCCTCAGAGCTATTGTGGGTGTTGCTCTTGACTCGTCCGTGCATATCGTCAGTAGTTGTTCGTTTCCTTCCTTAGAATGCACATCTTCCCAACTCGCTTGTTTTCGCGTTTAATCCAGTGTCGCTGTACAGTAGATCGTAAAAAACTTAACTTGTGGTCCTGTTCTTGCTGCTGTGTTCTATCGTCATTTCCCCTCACGTACAATAATCAGCAAGCGATCGAGACATGGGCGGCGCGGCAGTAGTCGAGCCGGCTCGGCGGGTCCCATCGCTGGGAAACAGACATAAGCGCAAGGCACGCGCTGCAGCGGCGGGTGATTATAGACCGAATCCAGACAAATCAGTAAACGAGAGCGAGGAGAGGGAGGTTGTCATTTTACCAGCGTCGTTCAGCCGCGATCTCGCTCATCCTCCTCTTCTACCCACACCAGAGGTCGTGGTTTCGATTTCCTTCGACTCCACTGTAGCCCCAGGAAACGTCGGTATGGCGGAAGGCGCGGGCGGAAGCGCTGGTGGGTCTAGGCTGATGTACGGAGTAGTAGGGGGGGAGATGGTGTCGGCGGAAGAGGGTGCGGGCGGGGGGAGCGCGCAGTGGGGCGCAGGGGGAGGAGACGATGCGGAGGGGGGCGAAGGGGGAGAGCATGAGAGCACGGCGGCTAAGAAGCTGCAGAAGGCGGATAGAGAGAAGATGCGGCGGGATCGACTCAACGACCAATTCATGGAACTCGCGAGTGTCCTCGGTAATATAATGCTCTCTTAACGCGTCCCACTCATGTCAGTAATTCACAGGTCACGGGCTCTCGTACCCTCCCTTTAATTCTGACGAAGTGACTCTCATGAGTTTATCTCGCCTTTCTCCTGTCGTCCATCTGCAGATCCTGACCGTCCGAAGAACGATAAGGCAACGATTCTGACCGACGGGCTGACGATGCTTCGCGAGCTGCGTGCGAACGTGAACCGACTGCGCGCCGAGCACAGCGCGCTCGTGGACGAGTCGAAAGAGGTGAGGCGAGGAGGGGCGAGGCGAGACGGAGGAAGTGGCAGGATGAACTTGCCTGGCGAGCGGTCAGATATGGTCGCTCCTTTTTATTCCTTCCGTGGGCTGCTCCTGTCCTGTCGTCGTGCGCGTGCACCCCACCTTCTCCCGTCACTCCCCTCACTCTCCCTTTTCGCGTGCATCGTTCTCCTGTGCTGTTTTTCTCCGCAGCTGGCGGCGGAGAAGTCGGAGCTGCGGCAGGAGAAGGGCGCGCTGAAGGGCGAGGTGGACGCGCTCAAGGGGCAGCTGCACCACCGCATGTCCGCGCTCCTGCCCTGGGCCACTGCGCCCCCCGCCGCCTCTGCGCCCCCCGCCGCCGCTGCGCCCCCTTCCGCCACTGCGCCCCCCGCTACCCCCGCCGCCCCTGTTTCCACCGCTTCCCCTGCGCCGCCTCCAGCCGCCCGTGTTCCTGCTGCTGCTCCTCCGATTCCTGCTGGCGCGGCTGCTGGTGCTGCTGGTGGGGGTGGGTTGCAGACGCCAACGCAGGCGCCAGTACACGGACACGTTCAGGCGTCAAGACACCTGTCAGGCTACGCTCCTGCCGCCCAGCCCTCCCGCCCTCCTCTTGCTGTCCTCGCGCCCGCTTCCGCTCCACCCGCCGCTCCTGCAGCTTCCCCACCCCCCGCCGTTCCCGATGCTGCTTCCGCGCCTTCCATGCAATTCCAACCTCAGTTTCGGCCTCAGATGCTGACGTCACCACTGCACGTGCAGCAAGGGATGCAAGCGATGAGCCAACCTGGCATGCTGACGTCAGCCATGAGCCAGCCTGGAATGGTTCAGCCTGCCATGCACATGCCACCTTCACCACATCACCCCGCATCCATGCCCATGCCCATGCCGTTACGCATGCCTACTGCCAACGCTGCACCCATGCCCATTCCCCAGCCCCACGCGCCCATGGCGCAGACCCTTGCGCCGATACCACAGTCCCATGCGCCCATGGCGCAGGCGCAGATGTGTATGAGAGGCGCGGACAGCGCAGTGGGCATGGGGGAAGCGGGGGGCATGGGGGGAATGGGGGGAAGCGGATCGGAGCAGGCAATGAGCCCCCCCGTGTCCGTGCTCTCCTCCTCCGCGCCCACTCCGCGCGCCTCCTCCGCAGCCGCGTCGTCAGCAGCAGCGGGGGGGGAGAGCCGCGTTGGGGAAGAGCCACGGGAGAGCAGCGATGGCGTGGGGCAGACAGGCAGGCAGCAGCAGCAGGGAGGACAGCAGGGAGGGCAGCAGGGAGGGCAGCAGGGAGGGCAGCAGGGGGGGCAGAAGGGCGGGCAGGATGGGGATGCTGCGGCGGGTGGGAGCTCCCTGGTGAACATGAGCCGTGGAGGGGGTGAGGCTGCTGTCGTTGTGGTGAAGCAAGAGGAGGGTGATGCCAACGCTGCTGACAGCAGGGCCTCACAGCCGCAGCAACAGCAACAACAACAGTCACAGCAGCTGCCACCGCAGCAACAACCACAGCAGCAGCAGCAGCAGCAGCAACAACAACAACAACAGCAACAGCAGCAGCAGCCACATCAACAGCAGCAGCAACAGCAGCAGCAGCAGGTGCAGCAGCAAGCAGCGGCACAAGAAGCACTTACCCGGCCGCCAGCAGCACAGCCCTTACAGCCGCCAGCCACTCTCCCTACCCCACCCCACCCCCTGCCTCCACACTCCTTCCCCCCCCAAGCCTGGCCGCCTGGAGCCTTTCCCATGCCTGTTCCCATGCCCTTCCAGGCCTCCATGCCAGGCTCGGTGCCCCCTGCACCTGCAGGCATGCAGGGCTGGATTGCCGTGCCTGCTGGCGCGTTCCCGTACGCCTTCCCTCCTACTGCCCCGCCCTCACTCCCGCTTGGTAATGATGGCAAGAGCACCGGAAGCTCTGTGCAGCAGCAGCAGCCGCAGCAGCAGATGATGGTGGCAGCTTATCTGCCAGGTCAGCTTCCATTCCAGGTCAGCGCCAGCTCAGCAGGTCAAAGTCAAGGGGAGCAGCAGGGCAAGGGGCAAGCGGGGCAGGAAGGGCAGGGCGGGGCACAGCAAGTAGCGCAGGGACAGCAGGCAGCACATGCGCAGCAAGCGGGGCAGGTGCAGCAGATGATGCAGATGCAGCAGTACATGGCGCAGGCGCATGCACAGGCGCAGGCGCAGGCACAGGCGCAGGCGCAGGCGCAGCAAGCAGCGCAGGCCCATCAGATGGGTCAGGCAGGTCAAATGAACCAGGTGCCCCAGATGGCTCACATGCAGCCATTCATGGGCGCTCCTGGGATGGCCATGGCGCTCCCCCCGCCTCCCCCTGGGCAGATGTACGTCACTGCTCCCTTCCTTGTCCCCGCCCCCACTCCCCCGCAGCAGCAGCAGCAGCAGCAACAGCAACAGGGGCAGCAGCAGCAACAGGTGCAACAGGTTCAGCAGCAGCAGCAGCAGCAGCAGCAGCAAACCATGCCCCCAGCATCCTCATCAGGTACGGTGGTGAGTGGTAACAGGTCGGAAGGCAGTGGTGGTGGTGCTGCTGGGGGCGCTGCCGTTACTCCTGCAACTCCACCGTCATATAGCCAGCACTTCACCATGCTACCGCCCCACGCTGCTGGTTCTGCTGGTGCTGCTGGTGCTACTGGTGGTCCTGGTGGTGCTGCTGCTGCTGGTGGTATGCCGCTTCCCCACATGGCCTACAGCAGTGGTGGGTTCTACATGCCTGTGAGTGCCCCGGGGCAGGCTGGCACTGCCGGCAGTCAACAGGTAGCAGCTCCTATGCCCTCCCAGCAGCATTTTATGCAACACATGCAACAGCATCAGCAGATGCAGCAACAGCAACAGCAACAACAGCAGCAGCAACAACAACAACAGCAGGCGCAGCAACAGCAACAACAGCAGCAGCAACAACAACAACAGCACCTGCAGCAGCAACAGCAACAACAGCAACAGCAGCAACAGCAGCAACAGCAACAGCAACAGCAACAGCAACAGCAACAGCAACAGCAGCAGCAACAGGCTTCAGTGGCAGTATCATCCACTGCCCCCATAACGTCCTTCCATCCCTTCCCCTCATATGGTGCTGCTCCCCCTCTCTACCTACCCACGCCGCTACAGCCACAGCAGCTACAGCCACAACCACTGCAGCCACAGCCACCACAGCCCCAGCAGCAACTGCAATCCCAGCCGCAGCAGCTGCCGCAGCTTCAGCAGCATCAGCAGCGGGCGGTGCAGCACATACCCCAAGCCCAACAAGGGGCAAATACACAAATACCCCCGGGCCAATACAGCCACTTGCAGCAACTGCCCGGGCAGGGCAGCAGTGCAGGGGGCGGAGGGGTGGCAGGAGAGAGAGGGAGTGGGGGAGGGGGAGGGGGAGGGGGAGGGGGAAGCGCAGCAGCGGGGGAGAGTGCAGGAGGGGCGGGGAGTGCAGCAGGGGCTGGCAGTATGCCCCACTGGCTGTGGGCGGCAAGCCACAGACCAGCTTGACTTGTTGCCAAACAGCTGCTTATATCTGGAAGATTACGGTAGTACTACCGCGCGCGCACAATGAAATGGGAAGCCTGTATCCTGGAACTTACGGTAGTTAGTCGCCTTTGGAGGTGCCTCAAAAGCCGTCTACCGCGCACAACAAACAAAATGGGAAGCCTGTTTCCTGGAACTTACTGGTACGGTAGTCCTACTATAGCCTGGAAATGCATTCTCATGCGTTGGATGTCAGTGATGGTGAATTCTTTCAAGCATGTGGTGCGATGTGATGCATTGCGATGGGATGTAGGGTGGTTCTAATGGTGCAGACCAGTGTATGACATGACAAGAGAAGCACATGTGGGTGATCTAGAGGAGTGAGCAGAGTTCAGGTTGCATCAGGGAAGGCTGGTGTTATGGCATGCAGCAAGTGCTGACTGGCACTGTGAATGTACATACACGTTGAGTGTCCACTGTACACTTATAAATAAATAATGTACCGCAGTGATAGATGGGATACGGTAACCCATAGCCCCTGCTGGGCGATTCATGTGTTGCAGTAAGAGGTCATCATAAAGCTTGCGCACATCACCCATCGTAGCCGTGTAACACAAGTGAGACATGGAATGGAATCTTTGCCACGTGGACCAGCAGCCTCGCCGTGTGTACCTGCACTCATGCCTTGCATGCCTGCAGCTACCATCATCTGCTTGCACTCATCTTCAACTCCACTGCACCCTCCTCCTCCCCTCCACCACCTTCCTCCCCAGTCCCATCCCCCCCTTCCATGTCGTTGATCCGCACCACCCCATCCCCTGCTGCTGCTCCCGGCGCATGCTTAGAACCACCACCCCACCCACCCATCCACCCACCCATCCACCCACCCATCCACCCACCCATCCATCTTCTCACTCGCCCTCCCACACCTGCCCACCCGCCCTTCTCCTGTCCCTCTCCCGGCCCCTCACCACCCTCCCTTCTGCTACCCCCAGCCCCCGATCCCTCTCCCTGCTCCTCCTCCACCCCATACCCCTCACTCTCGCCCCCTTCCCTGCTCTCCACTCCCCTGCCCTCTGCTTCCCCTTCTCTTGTCCCTCCCACTGCTGCAGGTGGAGTGGGGACTGAGGAGCCCGAGGAGGAACCAGAAGAGGAGGAATTAGAAGCGGAGGACGAGGAGGAGGCAGAAGTGGACCCGGTGGCCAATCCAGTGAGGACACGTGGCAGCCAGACGTCAGCAGCCAGGGCCTCCTCTAGCTGCTCCACGCGCTCCCTCAGCCGCCTCGCCTCCTCCTCCAGCTGCCTGTCCCTCTCGTGCAGCGCCTGCCACGCATGCCCAGTGTGCAGTGTGGGTGCCAGTGGGGGTGCCAGTATGTGTGCACGTGAGAGAAAGGGAGAAGGCAAGGGAGAAGGTGAGAGGCGCGGAGCACCAAGAAGAGGCGCGGAGCATTAAGAAGAGGCGCGGAGCACCAAGAAGAGGCGCGGAGCACCAAGAAGAGGCGCGGAGCACCAAGAAGAGGCGCGGAGCACCAAGAAGAGGCTGAGGATGGAAGCAGAGAGCAGCCGTCAGTCCATCAGAGTCACAACAGCTCAACCTGCTGCCAGCTCAACCTGCTGCCATCAACCAGCAAGACAACCACAGCTCACCATCCCTGCATGCCAACACCGTGCATGCATGCCAGCATGTGCTTCGACTCAGATGCTCTCCACTCCTCTCCACGCCTCTCGACTGACCTCGCGCTCCTGCTTCAGCTTGGCCTCCTTGCGGGCATTCGACCGGGCGCTCCGAGCTGCCTCAATGAACACCACGCCCCCCGCCACCTGCACCCACGCATGGACATGCCCGAATGTGCATGAATGAGCGAGCACGGGAGAGAAGGCACGTGCATGAGGAAAATATAGGCGCTCCTAGCCGCCTCGATGAACGCCACGCCCCCCGCCACCTGCACCCTCCCCACCCGAGCCAGCATGTGCATATCCGAGTGCATGAATGAAACGAGCAGGGGGAGAAGGCACGTGCATGCAGAGGAATGAGGCGCTCCTGGCCGCCTCAATGAACACCACGCCCCCCGCCACCTACATCCACCCGCGCACGTGTAAGTGTGCATATTCGTATGCATGAATGAACATGCAGGGGGGAACAAGGCATGAATGAGTCCACTGACGGCAAAAACGATCCGCTCAACCCACTCATTCACAGTACCCCCGCCCTTCCACCCAACCCACGCAGCACCTCTCGCCCCACACCCCCCTTTCTCACGACGAACACGATCAGCTCCCCCACCACCTCGCTGGCCGTGTTAACCGCCTTCTCCTCTCCTCGTTCAACCCAGTCAGCAAGCCTGTTACCCTTCCCCACCCCCCAACCCACTCACAGCCCACCACCACCTCGCTGGCTGTGCTGACAGCCTTCTCCTCGTTCAGCCGCTTGATGTGCCCCGCTGGAGCCTGTCCGCCCGTACACTCAACCCAGTCAACAACCCTATCAACCCCTCCCCACCACCCGCTCACACCGCCCTTCTTCCCCCCCACCCCCTGCCTACTCACGGCGAACACGATGAGCTCCCCCACCACCTCGCTGGCCGTGCTAACGGCCTTCTCCTCGTTCAACCGCTTGATGTGCCCCGCGGGGGCCTGCCCGTACAGCCGCCGCTGCAGCCGCACCGTGAACCGGTGGTAGCCCTGGGGGCCATTGGTGGGGAGGGGGAAAGGGGGGGAAGGCGGTGTTGGGGACGAGGATGCGAGGCGCGCGCAATGCGAGTGGCGCCCCTGCGCGCACCCGCCTGCGCCCATCCGCGAGTGCGCACCCACCTGCGCCCATCCGCGAGTCCCTGCGCGCACCCACATGCGGTCAGTTGGCGATGGAACGGGATGGCATGGGACTTGGGGTAGCAATGCGCGCACCCTATGTGCGGAACCGCGCTCCCAATGCGCGGAGGCTGTGCGCGCACCTTATGCGTCCCCCCCACACGCGGAGCCCCTGCGCGCGCACGCACCTGCGCCCAGTTGGCGATGGAGGCGCGGAACTTGGGGTGGCTGGCGGCGCGGCGCTTGATGGCCTTGGCGAGCGGCTTGCTGAGCGTCTTCAGCACCAGATCGCCCAGCTTGCCCAGGGGGAGCGCCATGCGCGCGCGGACTCTCGGCTACTACTAGCTGGTGTTCTGTTTCCACACTGTCTTTCCTACTTGCGTAAGCGTAGATCCTAGACACTGCTGCTCCCTGGAGAATGTCAGAGGAGCGGCTTGCTCACTGGCCGATGTCAGCGCAGCGGCTTGCTGAGCGTCTTCAGCACCAGATCGCCCAGCTTGCCCAGGGGTAGCGCCATGCGCGCGCGCGCGCGGAGTGGGAAACTATTGAATGAATATAATTAGTATAACGAGTTGATGATGTGGAAGAATATTAGAGGAATGTGGAATAGCGGAGGTATTACGAAGGGTTATCAAGTGGTGCTGGAGGGTCAGGTGGTGCTGGAGGGTCAGGTGGTGCTGGAGGGTCAGGGAGCTATCGTGCCACACGTCAGCAAGGCGCGAGGGTGACAGATGCCGGCGTCAGCGGCCTACTAGATAAGAAATAGCGCTGTGGGCTGATCGACGTGGGCTGATCGATCGACGTGGGCTGATTTAGGGACTTCTCACAGCCCTAGTACTAAGGTGATAGGCGGCGCAGTGGGCGAAGGTGCGACCTTGGAACCGGATTAGCGACCGCGACAGTGGATAGCATGACTCGGCGCGCAGGAGGGCCGTAGACGGCCGATGGGATGAGACATTTTCCTTCTCGCCTCTCCTTTCCCTAGAAACAGCCGCAGTGTCGCGTTCTGGAGGTGTTGGACTGGGTTTGCGCCGGAAGTCAGGGGTCCAGCGCGGTGTATTGCGGTACCACTATCACTAACAGCGTCTCGAGTTCTCCGAATCGCGGTAAGTGGTGAAAGAATAAGTTAGTCGGTCAGTCACTGGTGTCAGTAGTCAGTTCTAGCTTTTAGCTGTACAGAAGAGCGATAAGCACGAGTTCGAATTATCTACAGGCATTGCGCGACCGGCAGGGCATCAGCCATATACAGTATTAGATCCGTAATTCACGGGTGATGGTGATATGTTACACTGTGCACTGACTTCCTCAGACCCGAGGAGACTTTGTCAGAGATGCGTGATGGCATGGCATGGATAGGAGAGGGATGAGTGGGGCATGGAGCAAGACGCTAGAGGCTGGGATTGGCGGTGCTCGTGAGGTGTGACACAAGCAGGTGACTTGTAGACTCTCCTGTAAGAACCACATGTAACTAATTGGCTAAACATAATTTCATTAATAGCAGGTACCAGTAACATTTTAAGAGGCATCACTGTCAGGAAGCTTGCCACAATCGAAGAGCGCATGGTCCAGGAAATGCGAGGGCGAGAAGAGATGCGGCAGCACCACTTTATCCCGCGCAAAGCACACCACCTCCTGGGGTAACTGGAGCAACCACCCTATGCCAAACGACCGCACTGTCAACTGTGCCACCCTCCTCCCTCTCAGCCTCTCATACTCCCTCAATGCCCCACACACCTTCTCACTCTCCACCCTCCTCCGCACACTCGCTCCCTCCTCCCCTCCCTCCACTCCACCGCTCCCTTTCCGGTCCTCCCCATCTGGTACAGACGCTTCCCATAGGCACCGAGCCAAGATCACAGCATCTTCCAAAGCTGTGCATGCACCTTGGCCAAGGTTCGGAGTCATGGGGTGGGCGGCATCACCGGCCAGAGTGACGGCGCCACGTCCCCATGTGCCCAGAGGGGGCGGCATCGTCCAGCGGTCTGTGATGGTGCCGACTACAATGCTGGTGGCCGGCGTGGCGTGAATAAGACGCTCGATGCCGCCCTGCCAGCCTTGCACGTAGGAGAGAGCCTCCTCCTTGGCTGCTGCTGATCCTGGTGGGGGAAGCGCAAATGGGGAAGCGCGAATGGGGTGGGGGGAAGGGGAAGCGGATGGGGGAGAAGGGGGAATGAGAGGGAGAATGGCCTAAGTCAAGCAAGTAGAGAAAATGGCGATGGGCATGAGAGAACTGATGCACGAGGTACAAAGCTGAAAGGGATTTCACAAGTGCCAGTTTGGAGCGGGCGCAGGGCGTATGGCACAGGGCACAGGACGCAAGGCGTGCCAACTGGAGAGGCACAGGGCAGGGAGCAGAGGAAGCAAGAACTTGATTTACCTCTGGGCGGCAAAGGCGAGGGTGGAGCATTGTAGCAGGTGAACCAGTAGACCCGCGTGGGTGTGAGAGGGTACATGCCCACTCGCACCCCCCTCCCCCACACCATTCCCACTCTCCCTCTCCCCTCCACACTCCCTCCCACGTCGCCACCCTCCGCATCACCCCCACCGCCGGCAGCAACGGCAAAATCAGCAGATTCCGCTGGATCTAGTTCCGCCACCCCTCGTGCCGCCCGGTATCCAGCGTAGTTGGTGGGCGGCAGCCCGAGCCAAGAGGCGACCCCTGATGCGTTCCCGTCACACCCTATGAGAGCCTTGGCTTCGATAGTAGCACCGTTGGATAGAGTCACAGTCACCGCGGAGGCAGTGGTGGTGGTGGTGGGTTCTGGCATGTGGGTGATTGTGGTGGCGAATCGGATGGTGCCAGGTGGCAGTTGGGAGGCCATGCAGGAGAGCAGGTGGGCGCGGGTGACCCCCCTCACCTCGTGATCGGGTCTGCATGACCTCCATATCAATGCGTCATATGCCATCCATGCCATGCCATCCATGCCATGCCATCCATGCCCATGCCATGGCAACCCCATGTCACGCCACCCCCCATGCCACGCCATCACATCAACCAGTGAGATGATCCAGCATGAAACAACATCCCCGATGCACCACCATTCATCACAGGGGCAACGAGAGATGGAGGAAGAGCAGATTGTGAGAGAGAAAGGGGGGCAGGATGCGGCACACAACAGCGCCAGTTTTTGATTTCCGAATATCAGGAAGCAGGCAGCAGAGGAGAGAGAAGGGAGTGCATGAGAACACAGTGTATGCGCAGAGCATGGTGCATTAGCGGTGTATGGTATGAGAGAAGAGCAAGGGGACGCGCACCCACCCCACATTGCAGTCAGCGAAGTCAAAGGAGCGCAGCGCCGTGCCGTCCGCTGCTGCAATGTCAATGCTGATGGGGATGGCAGTGACGTGGCAGTGACGTGGGAAGCAGTATCAAGAAGCATGCGAGTTCGAGAGGGAATCATGAACGATGCTTGAAAAACGATGGGAACAGACGACTTGGTATGAGCACATAGGATGCATGGTAAAATGGCTTTCAGATATCCACCTCTCTCCAGCCCCCTCCTCTCCCTCCCCACTCCTCTTTCACCCCGCGCTGCCCTTCCCCCCAGCTCCTCGCATACTCGCGCGCCTCTCACCCCTCCAGCCCGCCCGCGCCCTCTCACCCTTCCAGCCGCACGTAGTCTGTTCGCAGCAGCGCGGCCACCCCCAGCGCGTCCAAAGCGCGCCAAGCGTTGCCCCACAGGCTCAGCGCCGTTCCTGATTGGCCGAGACCCGGCGCGCGCTCCACCACTGCCACGTCAATGCCCACGCTGGCGCGCGCGGGGGAAGGGTGGGGCCGGGCGGGGAGGGTGAAAGGGGGAAGCGGGAGGGGGAAACGAGAGGAGAGAATGGGCAATGAGGAAAGATCAGGGAAAGAGCTGGTGGCGCAGATGCGGGGAGCCGCGCGCTGGAGCACTGCCACGCGCGCTTGGCGTGCTGTTTGGGGGGAATCACGTAGAATGCTGGGAAGGGAGGGATGGAGGTGGGTTTGCGGAAGAGAGAAGAGGGGTGTGACTGTACCGGTGTAAAGCGAGAGCCGTGGCTAATCCCGCGACGCCAGCGCCCGCTATAAGCACATCGAAGCTCTCCCTAGCAGCCGAGTCGGACTGCTGTGCTGTCTGCGCGCCGCGCTCCGCTGCTGCGCGCACGCGGAGCGATGAGTGTCGATTTCGGGAGCTGTGAAGCGCAATTCGCGGCGGTAATCGGTTTGAATTAACATGACGAGATGCACGGCGTGAGGCGCAGCGAGAGGAATGGCGAGAGGAGGTGCGAGCGATTTGATGCGGGAAGGAAGGAGACGGGCCGATTAAAGCGACCGGCCTCAGCGAGAGAGGCAAGTTGCTGTGCTGACGTGGCGCTTTAATAACATTAGTTTGCGAATCGTCCCGCAAGAGGCGGCAGGGTTGACGAATCGCGTAGTGGACGGGTGATAGCGACGCCATCGTTGCAGCTCATGCCAGTAAATTTCCTACTTGCCTGCCATTATGTATAGAATGGTGGAGTATTCTCATCTTGGTCGAAACATCTGAGATCGAATTCGTCGCGAACCACACACGTGCCTCCCCGAATTCGGCAATTTCGCCACATCGCCACAGCAACCATCCACCAACCAACTTCGATTTTGCCGTGACCACACACACCCACATACCTCTATCTCCCTCCCAGGTACCTCGTCAGGGCATCTGCCAGCCATAGCAGTCATTCTCAAGGGACGTAATCTGAGCCACAGGAATAACGTTCCCATGAGTGCAATGGGAGCTGTGTCTTGTCTATTACCTCCGTGCTCGTCGACTGCGCAGCAGCTGGGCCGGCGCGCCTGAAATGAGGAAGAGCTGCATGCTGTGCGGCGCCGAGTTCCAAATGTGCTATCCCCCGCGCCTCGGCCGAGGCGGACAATGCTGTGGGCATCGTGTGTGTCGCTTAGGCGTCAGCACCGTCTCATACGCTCGCTCTTAGGCCGATCAGCGGTAATTTACATCACGAGTTCGATTTCATGTTGACTTTTGAGTCCGGCTTAAAAGTCACCTCCTTTATACACTCGCTCTGGCGATCAGCAATAGATTCCGACTTCGCGCGCCTCTTTCCGTTCGCTAGTTCTGGACACGCTGTTCTCCTGCTGCTGACGCCTTACGCACCCGACTAAAGACTGCTCTCCACAGTCGACAACGTCAATCCGAGCGCTTTCTTGAGAGGAATTGAATCTCCGCGACGGCGTCACAGCGCGCCGCCTGCTCTCGTCAGCTTGATCTCGCGTCTGCTCACCGATTCGTAAAGTCCGGCGTCGTCGCTGATCACTTGATAAAAGTTGAGTTTTGAGGCGTCTCAAAGATCACTTCTTTGACATCTCGGGAATCAAACTCGTGTCTTTTCACCGGTTCGCACCTCGCGGCGCGCGCGCGATCTCATGTGGCCGTGGGGTAGGCAGCGGCGCGGGGGGGGTTACGAGAGCGTGCAGCACGAAGACCCCTCGCCCACCTTCCGCTCGCGCTACCTCCAGCAGCGCGCGCGCAAGTCCGCGCGCGCGCCGGGCGCTGGCGGCGTGCTCCGGTGCTGCTCGTGCGCGACGGTTGTGCTTGTAACGGTGATCGGCGCGGCGCTGCTGCTGTGGCTGCTCGGTGTGAACCCGTTCAGGTGCGTGCGACGAAATGGAGATGAATGCGACGCAGCTATGAATCGCGCATGTGTCGCACGCCCCTCATACATACCCCTCAAGTCGCTCTTGTACTCCTCCTGCCCCTTTCTCCTTTCCGCTCTGTAACTTTCCCGCCATCGTCCCTCCCCCAATATCTTCCCTTGCGCCCTTTTCCCGTTTCCCCTCCCCCAATTCTTTTCCCAACTCCGCCAGCCATGGAAGCACCCTGGTGTCCCGCATCAAAGGCGCGCAAGGGGCGGGGGGCGCGCAAGGGGAAGGCGGAGAGGGGCTGACGGCGGAGGGGGAGTGGAACAGCGGCGGAGCGAAGGCGGGGGACTGGATGGGGGAGGGGGGGGAGGGTGGCGCAGGGCAGCAGAAATGGGGCGGGTGGGGAGCAGCGGGGGATGAGAAACAGCCGGGTCAGACGCCGCCTGCACCAGATCTACCCGGATTCTTGAATACCCGCCCCATTCCCGACCCTGATTTCCCCACGGACGAAAGTGGGTCGGAAGGCAGAGGTTCAGGGTTGACGCATGGGGAGGAGGGGGACGGCGAGGGGGAGGGTGGTGGGGCGTATGACACAGAGACAGGAGCGCGGAAGGGGAAAGGGAAAGGGAAGGGGAAGGGGAAGGGGAAGAGGAAACCGAGGTATGGGGGAGGTCCGGATGATTGGGATGAGGTGCATGAACAGCTGATCACAGAAGCAGATACCATTGCAGGGGAGGCTAGGCTGGCTGCTAATGAGGCTGAAATGGCTGCTGCTACTGTGGGGGAGGGCGGTGGGGAGAAGGCCGGGGGGAGGGGGAAGGTGGGGGGGCTGTCGCGGAGGCGGTATGAGCCTGGGGAGGAGGAGGATGGGGTGGAGTTGAGGGGGGCAGGGGGGAAGTTGAATCGGAGGAAGAAGGAAGGGAAGCGCGCGGGGGAGGGGGGTGGGTGGGGGAAGAAGAAGAGGAAGAGGAGAGAGGAGGATTATGAGGAGGAGGGGAGGGACGATGGTGAGTTGGTTATGGTTGACAGTCGTCCCCTGTCTGCTCTGCTCTGCTCTGCTCCCATTGCACTTCCCTTCTGCCCGGTACCTCTGTCTTCTTCTTGGATTCCTCGTCACCAGTCGCACTTCAGTCATTTCATCCTCTCTCCTTCCCCCATGCGCCCTGGCCATCCCTTTCCTCCAAGTTCTTCTCCCGCTCGCCCCCCTTCCCCCTCCCCCCTCTCCCTTTCCACCTCCTCCTCCTCCCGCTCTCCTCTGTGTGTTCATCCATCCCCCCTGTGGGCTCGCAGAGGACGAGGAGGAGGATGGGGTGGACGCGGAGGCGAGGGAGGAGGAGGAGGAGGAGCGGGAGGAGGAGGCCGAGATGGAAACGGACGGCCCAGATGACTCCGACGACGAGGATGACACCAGCAACACCTCCCGCCGGGGAGGGGGAAGCATGCGGGGGCGCAGCAGCATGCTGGCGCGGCGCATCCCCGGCACGGGCGTGCGGGGGGAGGAGCAGGTGGGGCGCGTGCGGCGGCAGCTGGCGTGTTTGGCAGGGAGGGAGGGCGGGCGGTGGGCGCTCAACAGCACTCCCAGGTGGCTCCCGTGGGACCTCACTGCCTCGCGCCACCACCACTCGTCTCGCCACCCCAACCACCGCTCCTGCGATCAACTCTGGGCCAAAGAGTGAGTGAGTGGGGCAGCTGGCATGCCTAGCAGGGAGGGCGGGCGGTGGGCACTCAACAGCACTCCCAGGTGGCTGCCGTGGGACCTCACAGCCTCGCGCCACCACCATTCAGCCCGCCACCCCAACCACCGCTCCTGTGACCAGCTGTGGGCCAAAGAGTGAGTGGGGCAGTGATCCTGCTTCCTTCCACGCTCCTTGTTTTTCCCTCCTCCTCCTCCTCCTCCTCCTCCTCCTCCTCCTCCTGCTGCTCCTCCTCCTCCTCCTCCTCCTCCTCCTCCTCCTCCTCCTGCTGCTCCTCCTCCTCCTCCTCCCTTCCCAAGCTAGCCCTCCACTCACTACCCTGCCCCTACACCACTTGTGCTCCACACCCTCACTCACCACCACACACCACCCACCCGTATGGAGCAGGGCAGGCAGGGTGTACGGGGCTGCAGTGGGAGGGGCAGGGTGTACGGGGCTGCAGTGGGAGGGCGAGGCAGAGCAGTGGCAAGTGTGGCAGCAGGGCAGTGCCTATATCCAAGCGGCTTTTGTGTCGACTCAAAAGTCAGCGGGGCAGCGCCTATATTTCGAGGCGCCTCAATAATCCAACATCTTATCCCTTTCTGCCCTAACCCATCCCCACTCACCGGCCTGTACGGAGCAGGGAGGGCGGGGTGTACGGAGCAGCAGCAGAGAAGGCTCGGCGGCGGGGGGATGCAACGCGGTGGCGGGTGAGGCGGGCGGCCCTCTACGAGTGGCAGTCGGGGGACGCCTCGTGCCCTCTGCTGCCCTTCCAACGCACTGCGTTCTGCCGGGCCGTGCGGGGGAGGAACGTGGTGGTGGTGGGGGATGCAGGGGCGCTGGATTTACACGATGCGCTGCTGAATCATCTTGTGACTGCCCACACCCGCCGCATTGCTGAGCCACTGGGAGACGCCTGGTGGGTGCTGAGTGGGGGATGGGGGATGGGGGATGGGGGAAGGAGGGTGGTGGTGGGGGGTGCGGGTGCATGCCTGCATGATGCGCTGCTGAATCATCTTGTCACTGCCCACACGGGCCGCATTGCTGAACCCCTTGGGGATGCCTGGTGGGTGCCGGGTGGTGGGCAATGGGTGGTGGTGGTAGGTGGTGGGTGCTGGGTGCTGAGTGCTGGTGATTGGTGTTCGCTGGGTGATGCCTAGTGGTGGGTGGGTGGTGGTAGGTGCGTGCTTGCATCGCATATGGCAACGTGGTGGTGGGGGGGGACGCGGGGGGATGCAACACGATGCGCTGCTCATCCACCTTGTGACGGCCCACACCCGCCGCATTGCTGAGCCTCTTGGGGATGCCTGGTGGGTGCCGCTTGGGGACGGAGGATGGGTGATGGGTGGGGTGAGGGAGGGGTGGGTGGTGGGTGATTGCTTGTGAATGACCGACTTTTTGTGTCTGCCACTGCCATTTGTGATTCATGTGCGTTACCCCCATGTGTCCCCTCTTTCTCCCTCTGTCCCAGGGCCAATGCCACAGAGGGCGCATGCTACGAGGCAGGCCACCCCCTCTGCACAGACGTGCGCCTCTCCACCTCCTCTCCCTCCTCCACCTCTTCCTCCGCCCGCTCCTCCCGCCTCCCCTCCTCCCACTCCCTCTCGCGCACTCGCTCCCGCACCTCCTCTTACACCGGCGGCCACAGCACCACAAGCAGGAGAAGCAAGCAGGGGGGCATGAGCACCCAGCGGCAACGACAGCAGCGGGAGGCGAGGGAGGAGGAGGAGGACGACGAGGAAAGATTCAGCCAGCATGACCGGGAGGGGGTGGTGGAGGAGGAGGAAGAGGTGGCGGAGGGGAGAGTGGGCAGGCAGCTGCTGCGGTATGGGGGAGGGCCGGAGGAGAGCGAAGTAGGGGAGCTGAGCAGAGGGGGGGTGGGGGAGGCGGAGGAAGAGGAGGAGGGCAGTGCGGGGTCAGCGGGCTTCAACATGCGCGTGGTGCTCAACCCCTTCCTGTCCCTGGACACGGGGCGAGTGTCAGCTGTGAACAACCGCTGGGTGAAGAAGCTGCGGCGCTGGCGCACTGGGATCCTCGTGCTCTCCCGCACCGCGCGATACAAGAGCAGTGAGTCGGCGCTTGTATGGTGTTTATAAGGTCTTTGTGCTTTGACTTGCGCATTGGCACGCACTGACACCTTGGTTCTCTCCCGCACTGCCCGATACAAGAGCAGTGAGTCCGCAGCAGTGCCTGTCGGTAACACTGTGAGTGATCCGAGAGCGGACATTGCATGTGCTCTGTCATGCTGGGTGTGCCCCTTCCCATGCCCCCCTCCATCTCCCCCCTTCCTTCAGGGCACACGCTTCTAAGGGAGCTGCGAGCCACGGACGGTCAAGACAGAGAGGCGGCGGCACCCCAATCTGCTCCTCATCTGGCGCAACTCGCCCGCGCCGCACGACGACCGCGCCGCCCACTGCGCATACACGCTGTCCTTCTCTCCCCCCTTCTCCCCCCTTCTCCCCCCTTCTCCCCCCTTCTCCCCCCTTCTCCCCCCTTCTCCCCCCTTCTCCCCCCTTCTCCCCCCTTCTCCCCCCTTCTCCCCCCTTCTCCCCCCTTCTCCCCCCTTCTCCCCCCTTCTCCCCCCTTCTCCCCCCTTCTCCCCCCTTCTCCCCCCTTCTCCCCCCTTCTCCCCCCTGCCCCAACCAGAGCGCACGCTACTAAGGGAGCTGCGGGCCACACTGAAAGCGGTGAGGCAGAGGCATCCCAACCTGCTCATCATCTGGCGCAACTCCCCAGCGCCGCATGATGACTGCGACGACGCCACGCTGCCCCTCCGCCGCCGCCCCCTCGCCTCCTCCTCTCGCCACCGCGAGATGAACGAGATCGTCAAGCCGCTGCTCGAGGTGAGGCTGGGATTGATGGAGGTGACGTGGCATGCAGGACGTGAAGCTATGACTAACCACTTTTGAGGTGCCTCAAAATTCAAAGGCCCCTCGCCGCCGCCCCCTCGCCTCCTCGTCCCGGCATCGCGAGATGAACGTCAAGAACAGATGGCTTTCCTACTGCAGTAGCGCTGGCAGCAGGAAGGGACATGGATGCCACCACGTCTCTTCTGAATAACACCCATCCTCCCCTTCCCTGCATCCCTGCCTCCCTCCCCCTCCTCCTCCCCCCTCACACCCTTCTCCCCTCTTCCCATCTGCGCAAGCAGGAGTATGGAGTGGTGTAAATGGATGTGGATGCAGCCAATTCTTCCCCTAACACCCATCCTACACCCCCTCCTCTCACTCCCCCCCCCCCCCCCGGAACACACAGGAGTACGGAGTGGTGTACATGGATGTGGATGCGGCCACCTCTCTGCGCCCCGACGGGCACCATGTGAGGAGGGACGGGTCGGTGGACTGCCAGCGCTACTGCATGCCCGGCCCGCTCGACCAGTGGGTGCACCTGCTCTTCAACCACCTCCTCCTCCTCAACCGCCACTCCCCCCTGCCCTCCCGCTCCCCTCAATCCCACGCCGCTGCTGCTGCTGCCTCTACCCCGCAGGCTGGTTTGGGTGGGGGAGCGAGTAGGGATGGTGTTGGGGAGAGGGGTGGGAAAGGGAGTGGGGAGGGGAGTGGAGAGACGGATGGAAGTGGGGGTTCTGCTGTGGGCGCAAAGGGGACGGACGAGGGTTTAGGGGGTAGAGGTGGGAGCACCTCTGAGAGTGGTGGTGCTGATACTGCTAGTGCTGCTGGTGCTGCTGATGGTGGTGATGGTAGTGGTGAGAGAGGGGTAGTTGGAGGGGACGGGATGGGCAGTGGGAGTGAAGGAAAGGAGAGTGTGGAGGGGAGAGGAGAGGAGGGCGAGGAGGGGAGGAAAGGGGAGGGCGAGGAGGGGAGGGGAGGAGAGGGCGAGGAGGCAAAAGAAGGAGAGCGTTCAGGAGTTGACGTGGCGGAGGGAGGAGATGGTGGAGGGAAGAGGGGTGGAGAGGGCGAGGGTGGGGAAGGCGAGGGGGAGAGGGTAGGAGGGAAGGGAGAGAGTGAGGAAGGTGGTGAGGTGAGAAGTAGGGGAGGCGAGACTGAGGGGGAAGAGAGTGGGTTGGGCGGGAAGAAGGTAGATGAGGGGACGTTTGAGAGGGGGGAGGAGGAGAGCGGAGGGGAGGTAGGTGGAGAAGAGGAGGGAGGTGAGGGAGGAGGAAAGAGTGGAGGGGACGAGGAGTTGGGGGGAAAGAAGGTAGATGAGGGGACGTTTGAGAGAGGGGAAGAGGAGGGTGAGAGTGAGGAGGAGGGGGAGAGTGAGGGAGGAGGAAAGAGCGGTGGGGATGTGGAGTTGGGAGGAGAGAAGGTGGATGAGGGGACGTTTGAAAGAAAGGAGGAAGGCGAGGGCGAGGGTGAGGGTGAAAGGGAGAGTGGGGGGAGAGGGGAGAGCAGAGGAGAAGACGAGCTTGGAGGGGCGAAGGTAGATGAAGGGACGTTTGAGAGGAAGGAGGAGGAGGGCGAGGAGGAGGGCGAAGGGGAGAAGGAAAGTGAAGGGGATTTGGGCGGAGGTAAGGTGGACGAGGGAACGTTTGAGAGAAAAGAGGAGGAGAGTGACGGAGAGGAGGGCACTAGGAAGGATGAGGAGGGGGCGCAGAAGAGGGGTGCGGAAGGGGATGGGGAGCTGGGAGGGGCACAGGTGGGAGACGGCACGTTTGAGAGGCAGGAGGAGGGCGGACAGGAGGGAGGAGAGGGAGAGGGCGAGGGAGAGAGGGATGGAGAAGGCAAGAAGGGGAGTGGGGAGCTGGGCGGAATGGAGGTGGGCGATGGGACATTTGAGCGGAGTGAGGAGGGGGAGGGAGGGGAAGAGTCTGGTGGAGGGGGTGAGGGGGTGGGAGGCGGTGGTGGTGATGCTGGCCGTGGGGGGAAGGGGCAGAGCGGAGGAGATGGAGAGGGGAATGAGACGAGGACCACAGATGAAGCAACAGCAGCCGCAGCAGCAGCAGAGAGTGAAGGTGGGCAGGAAGGGGGGGCGAGTGAGCAGACATAGATGCTATCTGTTACTGCCACTCGTCACCATCTATGGGTAGTGTGAAGGATGGGCGCTGTAAGGTGAAGGAAGATATATGCTTTCATGCCTGCGTTTCTCCCACCCCCCTCGCCTGTCTCCCCTCCTTCTGGGCGACACCTGTCACCAGAGCCCATGTTGGACCGGACTCCCGCCCGGCAGCATGGTGAGGGATGGCCGGTGGAAGGCAAACGTGCAAGTGACCATTCACACCCGTCTTGCCCTCCCTTGCCCTTGATTGTCCTCCCTTCCCCTCCCTTCCCCTCTCCCCCCCTTCATTCCCAATCACCGCACGCCAGACCCCATGATGGATCACATTCCCGGCAGCATGGTGAGGGGCAGGGCGGCAGTGGAGGCGGTGCATCGGGCGCTGGAGTGTGTGGTGAGGGACGGGCGGTGGAAGGCGAATGAGGAGATGCGGGTGCTGCCGTGGAGCCGCAGCCCCAACAGCGACCCGCAGCTGCCCAACTACGCCACGTGTGACGTGCTGCACGAGACCGAGTGAGTGCTCCATATTTGGGTTGTCTTCGTATACTATGTCTCTATTTGGGTTGTCTATATGGGGTGTTGAGTACACTAGTGAGTTGCACCGGCCCAACTACGGCACACGTCTTGCATGAGACCGAGTGAGTGCTCTATATTTGGGTTGTCTTAATGTATTATGCTGGGGTGTTGAGTACACTATTGCGTTGCGTTGCACCGGCCCAACTACGGCACACGTCGTGCATGAGACCGAGTGACTTGATTGGGTCTAATGTGAGTGTTTTGTCAACGATAGAGTGGCACGGGCCCAACTATAGCGCGGGCCCAACGATAGAGTGTTTTGTCGACGTGTGACGTTCGCCCAGAGCTGCTCTTTGACTGGAATGAGGAACAACCCTCTCCTCTCTCTGTCTTCGGGACCCCTCATAACCCCCCATCCCCACCCCTCCACTTCCCCACTGCATCCCCCACCTCTCCCCCTATCTTCTCCCTATACCCTACCAGGGCGGGCGGGGTGATGGGCGATGTAGCAGACGAGATCGTGCGAACCAACGGCAGCCCGGCGGACTGGAAGGTGCGCCCAGAGCTGCTGTTCGACTGGAAGCCGGCCACGGGGCGCGGGTGCCCGCCCTACGTGCCGTTCACGCGCGAGAAGCTGTGTCGCCTGCTGGCCCGCCGCAACGTGGTCATGGTGGGCGACGGCACGCAGCTGCTGCTGCACGACGTGTTCCTCAACAACATGTACTCGCTGCAGGCGGTGGACCACATGGGCAACCTGGAGGATGCGTGGTGAGTGCTGTGGTGTTTTGAATTGGGTTGGCTGCATAGTGACAGGGACGGGTGGATGCCGAGGGAGGGGGGTTGGTTGGTGTGATGGTGGGGAAGTGGGGGACGGCACGCAGCTGTTGCTGCACGACGTGTTCCTCAACAACATGTACTCGCTGCAGGCGGTGGATCAGATGGGCAACCTGGAAGACGTGTGGTGAGTGCCCTGATAGGTATTTCAAAAGTCACTCTAGTACAGCTGCTGCAGCACGACGTATTTCTCAACAACATGTACTCGCTGCAGGCGGTGGATCAGATGGGCAATTTAGAGGATGCCTGGTGAGTGCCTCTGATACATGTGCTACTGCTGCACTGCGTGGTCATGGTGGGGGACGGGACTCAGCTGTTGCCGCACGACGTCTTCTTGAACAACATGTACTCGCTGCAGGCGGTGGATCAGATGGGCAATTTAGAGGATGCCTGGTGAGTGCCTCTGATACATGTGCTACTGCTGCACTGCGTGGTCATGGTGGGGGACGGGACTCAGCTGTTGCCGCACGACGTCTTCTTGAACAACATGTACTCGCTGCAGGCGGTGGATCAGATGGGCAATTTAGAGGATGCCTGGTGAGTGCCTCTGATACATGTGCTACTGCTGCACTGCGTGGTCATGGTGGGGGACGGGACTCAGCTGTTGCCGCACGACGTCTTCTTGAACAACATGTACTCGCTGCAGGCGGTGGATCAGATGGGCAATTTAGAGGATGCCTGGTGAGTGCCTCTGATACATGTGCTACTGCTGCACTGCGTGGTCATGGTGGGGGACGGGACTCAGCTGTTGCCGCACGACGTCTTCTTGAACAACATGTACTCGCTGCAGGCGGTGGATCAGATGGGCAATTTAGAGGATGCCTGGTGAGTGCCTCTGATACATGTGCTACTGCTGCACTGCGTGGTCATGGTGGGGGACGGGACTCAGCTGTTGCCGCACGACGTCTTCTTGAACAACATGTACTCGCTGCAGGCGGTGGATCAGATGGGCAATTTAGAGGATGCCTGGTGAGTGCCTCTGATACATGTGCTACTGCTGCACTGCGTGGTCATGGTGGGGGACGGGACTCAGCTGTTGCCGCACGACGTCTTCTTGAACAACATGTACTCGCTGCAGGCGGTGGATCAGATGGGCAATTTAGAGGATGCCTGGTGAGTGCCTCTGATACATGTGCTACTGCTGCACTGCGTGGTCATGGTGGGGGACGGGACTCAGCTGTTGCCGCACGACGTCTTCTTGAACAACATGTACTCGCTGCAGGCGGTGGATCAGATGGGCAATTTAGAGGATGCCTGGTGAGTGCCTCTGATACATGTGCTACTGCTGCACTGCGTGGTCATGGTGGGGGACGGGACTCAGCTGTTGCCGCACGACGTCTTCTTGAACAACATGTACTCGCTGCAGGCGGTGGATCAGATGGGCAATTTAGAGGATGCCTGGTGAGTGCCTCTGATACATGTGCTACTGCTGCACTGCGTGGTCATGGTGGGGGACGGGACTCAGCTGTTGCCGCACGACGTCTTCTTGAACAACATGTACTCGCTGCAGGCGGTGGATCAGATGGGCAATTTAGAGGATGCCTGGTGAGTGCCTCTGATACATGTGCTACTGCTGCACTGCGTGGTCATGGTGGGGGACGGGACTCAGCTGTTGCCGCACGACGTCTTCTTGAACAACATGTACTCGCTGCAGGCGGTGGATCAGATGGGCAATTTAGAGGATGCCTGGTGAGTGCCTCTGATACATGTGCTACTGCTGCACTGCGTGGTCATGGTGGGGGACGGGACTCAGCTGTTGCCGCACGACGTCTTCTTGAACAACATGTACTCGCTGCAGGCGGTGGATCAGATGGGCAATTTAGAGGATGCCTGGTGAGTGCCTCTGATACATGTGCTACTGCTGCACTGCGTGGTCATGGTGGGGGACGGGACTCAGCTGTTGCCGCACGACGTCTTCTTGAACAACATGTACTCGCTGCAGGCGGTGGATCAGATGGGCAATTTAGAGGATGCCTGGTGAGTGCCTCTGATACATGTGCTACTGCTGCACTGCGTGGTCATGGTGGGGGACGGGACTCAGCTGTTGCCGCACGACGTCTTCTTGAACAACATGTACTCGCTGCAGGCGGTGGATCAGATGGGCAATTTAGAGGATGCCTGGTGAGTGCCTCTGATACATGTGCTACTGCTGCACTGCGTGGTCATGGTGGGGGACGGGACTCAGCTGTTGCCGCACGACGTCTTCTTGAACAACATGTACTCGCTGCAGGCGGTGGATCAGATGGGCAATTTAGAGGATGCCTGGTGAGTGCCTCTGATACATGTGCTACTGCTGCACTGCGTGGTCATGGTGGGGGACGGGACTCAGCTGTTGCCGCACGACGTCTTCTTGAACAACATGTACTCGCTGCAGGCGGTGGATCAGATGGGCAATTTAGAGGATGCCTGGTGAGTGCCTCTGATACATGTGCTACTGCTGCACTGCGTGGTCATGGTGGGGGACGGGACTCAGCTGTTGCCGCACGACGTCTTCTTGAACAACATGTACTCGCTGCAGGCGGTGGATCAGATGGACAACCTGGAAGATGCCTGGTGCGCGCCCTTAGCTAGGAGAAATGTCAAGAGTGCCCTCAGCTAGGGGGGGAACTTTTCAGGTTCACCCCCTTCATAGGTTCACCCCCTTCTCAGGTTCGCCCCCTTCTTAGGTTCGCCCCCTTCTTAGGTTCACCCCCTTCTCAGGTTCGCCCCCTTCTTAGGTTCGCCCCCTTCTTAGGTTCGCCCCCTTCTTAGGTTCGCCCCCTTCTCAGGTTCGCCCCCTTCTCAGGTTCACCCCCTTCTCAGGTTCGCCCCCTTCTCAGGTTCACCCCCTTCTTAGGTTCGCCCCCTTCTCAGGTTCACCCCCTTCTTAGGTTCGCCCCCTTCTTAGGTTCGCCCCCTTCTTAGGTTCGCCCCCTTCTTAGGTTCGCCCCCTTCTCAGGTTCACCCCCTTCTTAGGTTCGCCCCCTTCTCAGGTTCGCCCCCTTCTGAGGTTCGCCCCCTTCTCAGGTTCGCCCCCTTCTCAGGTTCACCCCCTTCTCAGGTTCGCCCCCTTCTTAGGTTCGCCCCCTTCTCAGGTTCGCCCCCTTCTTAGGTTCACCCCCTTCTCAGGTTCGCCCCCTTCTTAGGTTCGCCCCCTTCTTAGGTTCGCCCCCTTCTTAGGTTCGCCCCCTTCTCAGGTTCGCCCCCTTCTCAGGTTCACCCCCTTCTCAGGTTCGCCCCCTTCTCAGGTTCACCCCCTTCTTAGGTTCGCCCCCTTCTCAGGTTCACCCCCTTCTTAGGTTCGCCCCCTTCTTAGGTTCGCCCCCTTCTTAGGTTCGCCCCCTTCTTAGGTTCGCCCCCTTCTCAGGTTCGCCCCCTTCTCAGGTTCACCCCCTTCTCAGGTTCGCCCCCTTCTCAGGTTCACCCCCTTCTTAGGTTCGCCCCCTTCTCAGGTTCACCCCCTTCTTAGGTTCGCCCCCTTCTTAGGTTCGCCCCCTTCTTAGGTTCGCCCCCTTCTTAGGTTCGCCCCCTTCTCAGGTTCACCCCCTTCTTAGGTTCGCCCCCTTCTCAGGTTCGCCCCCTTCTCAGGTTCACCCCCTTCTCAGGTTCGCCCCCTTCTTAGGTTCGCCCCCTTCTCAGGTTCACCCCCTTCTCAGGTTCGCCCCCTTCTCAGGTTCGCCCCCTTCTTAGGTTCGCCCCCTTCTTAGGTTCGCCCCCTTCTCAGGTTCGCCCCCTTCTCAGGTTCGCCCCCTTCTCAGGTTCACCCCCTTCTCAGGTTCGCCCCCTTCTCAGGTTCGCCCCCTTCTCAGGTTCACCCCCTTCTCAGGTTCGCCCCCTTCTCAGGTTCGCCCCCTTCTCAGGTTCGCCCCCTTCTTAGGTTCGCCCCCTTCTTAGGTTCGCCCCCTTCTCAGGTTCACCCCCTTCTCAGGTTCGCCCCCTTCTCAGGTTCGCCCCCTTCTCAGGTTCGCCCCCTTCTTAGGTTCGCCCCCTTCTTAGGTTCGCCCCCTTCTTAGGTTCGCCCCCTTCTTAGGTTCGCCCCCTTCTCAGGTTCGCCCCCTTCTTAGGTTCGCCCCCTTCTCAGGTTCGCCCCCTTCTTAGGTTCGCCCCCTTCTCAGGTTCGCCCCCTTCTTAGGTTCGCCCCCTTCTCAGGTTCGCCCCCTTCTCAGGTTCACCCCCTTCTCAGGTTCGCCCCCTTCTTAGGTTCGCCCCCTTCTTAGGTTCGCCCCCTTCTCAGGTTCACCCCCTTCTCAGGTTCGCCCCCTTCTTAGGTTCGCCCCCTTCTTAGGTTCGCCCCCTTCTTAGGTTCGCCCCCTTCTTAGGTTCACCCCCTTCTCAGGTTCGCCCCCTTCTCAGGTTCGCCCCCTTCTCAGGTTCGCCCCCTTCTCAGGTTCGCCCCCTTCTCAGGTTCGCCCCCTTCTCAGGTTCGCCCCCTTCTTAGGTTCGCCCCCTTCTCAGGTTCGCCCCCTTCTTAGGTTCGCCCCCTTCTCAGGTTCGCCCCCTTCTTAGGTTCGCCCCCTTCTCAGGTTCACCCCCTTCTTAGGTTCGCCCCCTTCTTAGGTTCGCCCCCTTCTCAGGTTCGCCCCCTTCTCAGGTTCGCCCCCTTCTCAGGTTCACCCCCTTCTTAGGTTCGCCCCCTTCTTAGGTTCACCCCCTTCTCAGGTTCGCCCCCTTCTCAGGTTCGCCCCCTTCTCAGGTTCACCCCCTTCTCAGGTTCGCCCCCTTCTCAGGTTCGCCCCCTTCTCAGGTTCGCCCCCTTCTCAGGTTCGCCACCTTCTCAGGTTCACCCCCTTGTTAGGTTCGCCCCCTTCTCTGGTTCGCCCCCTTCTTAGGTTCGCCCCCTTCTTAGGTTCGCCCCCTTCTTAGGTTCGCCCCCTTCTTGGGTTCACCCCCTTCTCAGGTTCGCCCCCTTCTCAGGTTCGCCCCCTTCTCAGGTTCACCCCCTTCTCAGGTTCGCC